TCATATTTTTATTTTAATAAGAGATTTTTAGAAATGAGCAATATTATAGAGACATGAAAAATTAACTTGTTGCAATAAACCTATTTTTAAAATATTATTCAACCAATATTTATTTAGTACACACCATATGTATTAATTCAAGAAAAATGCTATGTACTTGGAAAGAACAAGACTCAAAGTGAAGGTACAATTCAAGAACACATGTCTAGAACTTTTTCATGGCAATGTAATTTTTTTGCTAATATTAAACTAATACTGCAACAAAATACTATGCCATACACAGAAGACCCAACTTTTTGTAAGTGATCCTTGTGTCTTTCCTTCAGCTCTCTCAAGACGGTATCCACTGAACCAAACTTGTTCAGAAATCTAATGGGCATAACACGCTGTCGTTCTTTCCCTGCAGCACCCTGATACACTAGTGTCAGGGCCGGTGGCTGAGATCGAAACCCCAGTTTCAGGGGAACCACCTGACTCTCCATTGTTAGGGCATCTGAAGTTACTGTAAGAAAGAATCATATATTAATTTCTTTTATTTCCAATGTATGTCTTGCTTATCCTTCAAATAGAACCTATAATACATCACTAATATGCTTCAGCTTATTAAAAAATATGGTCAGCTGAAATTTAATTCAAAAATTATTTTAATTTCTCTGTACTACCTGTCTACTGATCCCTTTTTTTAAAGCACATTAATAATAGACCAGAATAAAATAAACAGTGAAATTTTTAAGTCTACTAAAATAATAATAATAATAATAATAATAATAATTAATAATAATAATAATAATAAATAGTCACAAACAATGCATTAATGAAAGGTTAGGTTAGCTTTTGACCATGATAAGAGATGTACCGTATTTTCCAGCATATAAGATGATGTTTCTAAGCAGCTGTAGTGTAACATTAGCAAACAAATGGTAAAGTGTAACCCATAGCTTGACCCTGACCACGGTGCCCCGTGGCCTGGTGGCTAGAGCTCTTGCTTCACACGGCGATGGTCTGGGGTCTATTCCCAGCGAAGTTAGAAACATTGGTTGTGTTTCCTTTCACCGGTTGTCTATGTTTCCCATCAGTAAGATGGGTACCTGGGTGTTAGTCGACTGGTGTGGGTCGCATCCTGGGACAAAACTGACCTAATTTGCCCGAAATGCTCTGCATAACAAACGGCTTTCTATATAATAGTATTATGTCAATGATGTCAGCTAGAACTGTATACCTTGTACATGTACTTGTAGTAAATAAAGATATTACAAATGTATTATTATTATTATTATTATTAAGCAAAAAGGAATTACTGATAAGGCTCAATCACATAATGCAGTCTATGTGAACAAAACCATGCATACATTCATGACCATTAAAAATTATTATTATTACATTCTAAACTAAGAGCTAAACCCACAAGTCACAGCAGCGTAAATATAAACTCATCACATTTCGGGTAGTATAATGTCTTTATTTTTCCAAAGTTGCAGCGTGGAAGGAAAATAACTAATACTTGGAGCCTCAATGATAATACCAAGAGCCAGTGAATGAAAAAAAAAATTAAAATGATAACAGGGGAATTGTGCTGTTATTATTATTAAGAGTTTTGAGGGCCACCAAAACCTCGGCATTATTGCGCCCAGTTACCGTGAGTGCTGGAAAAAAAATACGTATACATGTATATATATATATATTGCAAAAATTTGAGATGAAAATGAAAAGGAAACAAAGTTGCCTCATAAATAAAATCGAAATAGGAGCACTATATTCCTAATTAGGTTAGTTTAATCCTCCCCCAACCTTGTTTAAACCTTAACGAAGTCAGATACACAGGCATTATCTTCTGCCTGAGTCAACAACAACAGATTTTATAACTGAATATGAAAATCGTACAAAATCCCGACATGTTGATAGGTACGACGTTTCGCCTACACAGTAGGCTTCTTCAGTCGGGTACAGAGGAATTTACAGAAGATGTAGAGGTGTGAAGACGATGTAATCAGTCCATCACCCTTAAAGACGTAGTTCTAAGGTGGTCAGTCCCTCAGCCTGGAGAAGTTTTGTTCCATAATCTAGAACAAGATTATAGAGGCGGATATAAAATCCCGACAGGATAGATAGACAGATTCAAAATAATGCCAACCTTTATGGCAACTTTTCGCCCACACAGTGGGCTTTATCAAGTAACAAACATATCTGATCTACTTGTGACCCCGTGGCCTGGCTGGCATAGCTCTCCCTTCACACACGGAGGGCCCGGGTTCGATTCCCGGAGGGGTAGAAGCATTTTGACGCGTTTCCTTATACGTGTTGTCCTGTTCACCTAGCAGCAAATGGGTATCTGGATGTTAGTCAACTGGTGTGGGTCGCATCCTGGGGGACAAGATCGAGGACCACAATGGAAATAAGTTAGACAGTCCTCGATGACGCACTTACTTTCTTGGGTTATCCTGGGTGGCTAACCTTCCGAGGTTAAAAATCCGAACGAAATCTTATCTTATCTTGTGGCTTGATAAGGCCCACTGTGTGGGTGAAATGCTGTCAATAAAGGATTTTTATTATTCTGCATTGGTATCTATGGGTTTTCTACATGCACAACTAAATATCACCCATCTCTGTACAACAAGTTTATTCAGGTACACATAAATACAGTTACATAAATTATCATACATAGCAGCATATGTGTAGATGACCTAGGGTAACCCTCAAAAAAGTCAAAGCGACTTATTTCCATTGAGCTCCTTGTAATATTGTATCACGTTGAAATAAATTATTATTATTATTATTATTATTATTAACATATGGACCATTTAACACATGGAAAACAATATAATATTATTCTTAATATCTGTAATCCTGACAACCACTAAAACATTGAATCTGTTCACAATGTCAATATGCTATGTCTAGTTTTAAGTAGTGTATAAGCATTAGTATTATACTACCCGAAATGCCCAAGCATGTTAGTGGCTTTCTTTGTACATAACAATATTTTAATAAACGTAAATCACACATTGTACATTATGCAACGGTGCCCCGTGGCCTGGTGGCTAAAGCTCTCGCTTCATACAGTGAGTGTCGGCGTTCGATTCCCAGCGAGGGTAGAAACATTGGTCGTGTTTCTTTACACTGGTTGTGTATGATGGGTACCTGGGTGTTAGTCGACTGGTGCGGGTCGCATCCTGGGACAAAACTGACGTAATTTGCCCGAAATCCTCTGCATGACAAGCGGCTTTCTATATAGTAGTATGTGTCATTGATGTCAGCTAAGCCTGTATACCTTGTCCATGTACGCGTAAAAATATAGATATGATTATTATTATTAAATAAAAATTGAATTGAAATTTAATTTAGTTATCCAGCAAAATAGAAGTTAACAACAGGTCGTAGTCTGGCCTAGGAAGGAGGTGATGTATGGTGATAGTGGTGTACGTGCCACTACCTTCCCAGGGTTGAGTGGCACTCACTGCCAACACCAGCCCCGCGCCTCACCAGTCCATGACGGCCTCATTTGTGGAGATTATATCACTAAGTAAATTTATTTAGGTACAGGTACACATGAGTAGAATTATCATACATAGTAAACATAATGCAATAAGAATACGGTAAATATGTGATATCACAATATACAAAATGGAAATAAGTCACTTTGTACGATTTTTTTTTTGGGGGGGGGGGTATCCTAGCTAATTTACACTATGTATGATAATTGTACTTATGTGTACATGCGTAAGTTTATTCAGGTACAGGTACACATAAATATAGTTATATTAATTATCATATATAGCAGCACATGTGTAAATTACCTAAGATAGCTCAAATAAGTCAAAATGACTTATTTCCACTTTAATATCTTATTTAAACCTTGAAAGTTAAAACAGCTAAATAATTAATTTATGTGAGAGGCAATTACAATAAACTCACTTAAAAAGAATAGTGAATTTCCAAGCTTTTTCTTTCCATGATAATGTGAAAAATCGCGGTGTTTGGAAATTCACATTTTTTTCAGTGTTTATTTTGCATAGTAACACATGGTTACAATAATATAGTAACATATGTGTAAATTATTTAGGATAACCCAAGAAAACGGTCAAAATGATGGTTATCCTAGGTAATTTACACATATGTTGCTATACGTGATGATTATGTGTACCTGTACCTAAATAAACTTACTGGTGAAGGGCTCTTAAACTGAGGAATTATAGCTACCTTTCCCTTCCTCGGATGATCCGAGGAAGGGGAGGGCAGCTGTATGGTTTGATCCGAGTCTATTCAAACCAAATTGCCTCGCATTGTTCAGGTGCTTCCCAGTAAGAATTAACAATACATGCAGTGTGCTGAGAAGTTTTATTATTCTTCAGGATACATTAAGAGTTCTGTTCAGGATACATCCAGTGCGCTGAGAGATTGTTCCATTCAGGATACATGTAGTGTGCTAAGAGGTTCTTCTATTTAGGATACATGCAGTGTGCTGAGAGGTTCTTCTATTTAGGATACATGCAGTGTGCTGAGAGGTTCTTCTATTTAGGATACATGCAGTGTGCTGAGAGGTTCTTCTATTCAGGATACATGTAGTGTGCTAAGAGGTTCTTCTATTTAGGATACATGCAGTGTGCTGAGAGGTTCTTCTATTCAGGATACATGCAGTGTGCTGAGAGGTTCTTCTATTCAGGATACATGTAGTGTGCTAAGAGGTTCTTCTATTTAGGATACATGCAGTGTGCTGAGAGGTTCTTCTATTCAGGATACATGTAGTGTGCTAAGAGGTTCTTCTATTTAGGATACATGCAGTGTGCTAAGAGGTTCTTCTATTTAGGATACATGCAGTGTGCTGAGAGGTTCTTCTATTCAGGATACATGTAGTGTGCTAGAGGTTCTTCTATTTAGGATACATGCAGTGTGCTGAGAGGTTCTTCTATTCAGGATACATGCAGTGTGCTAAGAGGTTCTTCTATTCAGGATACATGCAGTGTGCTGAGAGGTTCTTCTATTTAGGATACATGCAGTGTGCTGAGAGGTTCTTCTATTCAGGATACATGTAGTGTGCTAAGAGGTTCTTCTATTCAGGATACATGCAGTGTGCTGAGAGGTTCTTCTATTCAGGATACATGTAGTGTGCTAAGAGGTTCTTCTATTCAGGATACATGCAGTGTGCTGAGAGGTTCTTCTATTCAGGATACATGCAGTGTGCTGAGAGGTTCTTCTATTTAGGATACATGCAGTGTGCTGAGAGGTTCTTCTATTTAGGATACATGCAGTGTGCTGAGAGGTTCTATTCTTCAGGTTACGTGCAGTTTACAAACTGGAAGAGAGAGAAAAAACAGAAAACTGTTGTTGTTGGTGGTTGTGTCTGTCTTGGACGGTGTTGTTTACATGGTGGTGCTGGACGACGGCCGCGCTACCAAACCTCTTATTTTTATGCACCACTCCTGAAGAAGAATTTTTTTACGCCGTCTCCCCGGTATTCATCATGGTCTCCGCCAAGGAACTGGTCACCAGGCTCAAAGGGGAAGGATGGTGAGGGCACGTGGTGTTTTTTTTTTTTTTTTTTTACTGTGAAAGGGTGTTTCAGTCCTGCTCTATTCTGTTTATTATCTGTCTGGGGAGGCAGGTTTAAAACTGTGGGTTTTTACTCCAGAACATTAGGTGGAAGGAACGCTGGAGCAGGCCTACTGGCCTATGCTAGGCAGGTCTAACTCTGACATTCACATCCACTCATGTACCCGTCCTGTGGCTTGGTTGGCAACGCACTCGCCTCACACTGAGTATCCGTGGTTTGATCTCTGACACCGTGGAAATGATGGCCATGTTTCCTAATATCTACTGTCCCTGTTCACCTAGCAGTAAGTAGGTACCTGGGTGTTAGTCAATTGGTGTGGGTGGCATCCTGGGGGATGAGATTGCAGGACCCTAATGGAAATACGATAAACAGTCCCCAATGACGGACTGACTTTACGTATTGGGTTATCCTGGGTAGCTAACCCTCTGGGTTAAAAATCCAAATAAATCCTGACTTAAAGATATTCAAAGTTCTTGCTTCAGTTACACTGCCTGGCAGTTTCTTCCACTCATCTACAACTCTCTTGGTCAAACCAGTGCTTCCCTATAAACTTTCTAGATCCAAATTTCTCCATGTTGAATCCATTGCTATGAGTTTTGTCATGGTTACGCATTTTCAACGCACTTTTTAGAGCCCCTTTATTTATTCCTGTTTACCTTTGAACACTTCAGTTATATCTCCCCTAATTCTTCATCTTTCCAGAGAGTGCAAGTTCAATCCCTTCAACCAATCTTTTGAATGAAAGATTTCTAATGTATGGGATCAACCTCGTCATCATCCTCATCATTTTCCAATGCATTTCCATCTTGTAATATGGAGACCAGAACCAAACAACATAATCTAGATGAGGCATTAACATAAATAGAGTTGAAGCATAACTTTAAGACTGAGTTTTATTTATTGTCCTTGATATGAAGCCTAGAATTCTATTAGTTTTATTACTTGGAGTGTACCTGGAGAGGGTTTCGGAGGTCAACGCCCCCGTGGCTTGGTTTGAGACCAGGCCTCGTGGTGGATCAAGGTCTGATCAACCAGGCTGTTACTGCTGGCCGCACACAAACTGATGTACAAACCACAGCCCAGCTGGTCAGGTACTGAGTTTAGGTGCCTCTCCAGTGCCTTCTTTAAGACAGTCAGGGGTTTATTTGTAATCTCCCTAATGTATGCTGGGAGGCAGTTGAACAGTCTTGGGCCCCTGACACTTACTGTGTTGTCTCTCAGTGTACTCGTGGCACCCCTGCTTTTCATTGGGGAAATGTTGCATCTCCTGCCGAGTCTTTTGCTTTCATAGGGAGTGATTTTCACGTGCAAGCTTGGTACTAATCCCTATAGGATTTTCCAAGTGTATATTATCATGTATCTCTCGCCTGCAAACATTTATGCCCTGTTGTCTTGGCTTTAAATTTCTGTTAGCCAGAATTCCTAAATCTTTTTTATTTTTCAGCTACCTTGACTAAAGGCTGCATTATTTTATAAGTGCCATAGTTAGTTACATTTCCTAGTAGAAGAATGTCACACTTGTTTACATTGAAATGCATTTACTTCTTCTACTACCACACCGTCAACCTCTCCAGGTCATCTTGTAACTTTCTTAGTGTTCTCAGAAATTATTTGATGGTCTGTTATAGTGTAATCGGCAAAGTTGTTCATGTTGCTATTTATTCCCTCATCCATATTATTTATGTAGATTGTGAACAACAGGAGTCCTAACACTGACCCCTGTGGCACACCACTTATAACTAGTCACCATTTAAAGGCAAGCTTCAGTACATTTTTTTCAGAGTAAAATCATGCAGAACTAATATACAGCCTCTCCTCACTTAATGATAGAGCTCCGTTCCTAAGACCACGTCGGTAAACGAATTTGTCGCTAAGTGAAGAGCATACTATAATGGTAGTGGGTTTGTGTCAACCATCTTTGATATTGTTTTAATGTCACCTTTGCACCATTTATAACATTTCTGGTATATTTTTAAATGTTTATACAGTGGTGTACTGTATATTGTATTAAACAGAATAGAGGAAATCAGCTCAAATATACATTATTTAGGTATGCATGCTGGTCAGAGAGCCCGACGTAAGTCTGAGTCATTGGTAAACGAGTACGTGGCTAAGTGAGGAGAGGCTGTAGTTCATACAGGTGATGTTGGTAAAAGTAGACGACAGCTCCTCGATGGATTTCAGCCATTGTAGTTTGAATTGTACAGTGTTAAGTTGGTTTTATATTTGAGATGTTATTTTGTTGTGCAAATGGTAAAAGGTATAACGAAATCTCACAAAACCCACCTAACCTAACCTAAAATAAACTAATGTAACTTAAGTACAGTGGACCCCCACTTAACGATCACCTCCCAATGCGACCAATTATGTAAGTGTATTTATGTAAGTGCGTTTGTACGTGTATGTTTGGGGGTCTGAAATGGGCTAATCTACTTCACAATATTCCTTATGGGAACAAATTCGGTCAGTACTGGCACCTGAACATACTTCTGGAATGAAAAAATATCGTAAACCGGGGGTCCACTGTACTACAGTGGAACCCCAGATTTTGGCCGTAATCCATTCCAGAAGGCCGGCCTAAATCCAAAACGGCCTAAAACCGAAGCAATATTTCCCATAAGAAATAACATAAATACAATTAATCCGTTCCAGACACCCAAAAATACCATTAACAAAAAACACATTTTTTAAAGATTAACTATAGTTTTACATACACAGAACAATGAGAACTAAATAAAATGACCAATGAAATGGATAAATGAATATTTAAATCATTATTACATATCTTTATTGAAGACTTGTTGGAGTATGGAAGACAGGGAGGAGAGGTTATCTCCACCACCACCACTCCCACCCTCTACCACCATCACTACCACCCTCTACCACCATCACTACCACCCTCTACCACCATCACTACCACCCTCTACCACCATCCCTACCACCCTCTACCACCATCACTACCACCCTCTACCACCATCACTACCACCCTCTACCACCATCCCTACCACCCTTTACCACCATCACTACCTCCCTCTACCACCATCACTACCACCCTCTACCACAATCACTACCACCCTCTACCTTTGTCCTTAATCACTGAAGAAGGCATATTCCTCTCTCTTCCTCCTCCTCCTCTGAAGCAATTCCCTCAGCTGTGGTCTGTTGCTGTTTGCAGATGAAGGTCTTGCAGCTTTTCAATGGTTATCTCTTCCCTGTGGTCCTCCACCAACTCTTCCACATCCTGGCCACTCACATCCAACCCCATGGACTTCCCCAAAGCCACAATATAGATTCCATAACAGGTGTGTTTCTCACTTTCCTTACCAAAAGGCTGGTGCTAGGAACTTTCTTTGGCCCCATGGTGGCTTATTTCGCAGTCATAATCAATAAACAAGCACAAAAATTGCAAAATGTTTTAGATGAATGTTCACTCAAGCAGTGACAAAGCCAGACTGAAGGCATCCCCACATGGGTGGACGCTTCCAGTACGGCCGATTTCCGAATCACCGGCCGAAATCCAGGGCAAAAATTTCGGCCAAAAAGCGGCGGATTTCTGATTTGGCTGATATCCGCAGCAGCCAAAATCCAGGGTTCCACTGTACTGATTAACTCAAACATGTTATGTGACCATAATAAATCTACTATTTTCACTATCTCCCAAAATAGCACTTTCCACAAGAGATACTTTTCCCATGGTGTACATAAGTTGTATGTACGTATTATAAAATGTAAACAAATGCCCAAGTTTTGCCAAATAGTAGTAGTAGTAGTAGTAGTGTATTTTTATTGTGTTATATATTGCCTAAAGTCAGTGTGCAATTAAAAAAAAATAACATGATTTGATGACCTAACCCAAAATAGCTCTACAGTTCTTCAGATTTATGTCCATCAGGGTTAAACCATACCCCGGCCGGGATTGAACCCGGCCGGGGTATGGTTTGTTTGCAATCGTGTCATTACGATTTCGTGAGTCCATCAGGGTTACTTTGAGGCCCCAGTGGAATTAAATTTCAGTGCTTATACAGGAAGAACAAAAAAGCATGACTGGAACAGTACGCAAAGAACTCGCACATGGGAAAGAGAAAAGCGCATGATTACATTTTGGTGCAGTTTGGACCATTCACAAGTCACAATGTGACGTTAATGGCACAAGTCAGACCGAAACATCATCATCAGACCATACCATGGGTTGGGTTAGAATTCGTGATCAGAGAGCCATAAAACTCCATACTAACGCATTAGCCACTGGGCCAGCTAGCCACAATAAGCTGGCCCAGTGGCTAACACATCGGTCTGGAGTTTTATGACTCTGATCGCAGGTTTTAATCCCACACGTGGTATGGTTTGTTTGCAATCATGTCATTACAATTTCGTGAATAGTCATCAACACTTCTCTCTGCTATGTGCGGGTTATTTGTGTATTCATAATATACTTATGCGCCCATAGCAAGTGTAAGTAAGTAAGTTTATTCAGGTATACACAAATACAGTTACATAGATTATCATACATAGCAGCATATGTGTAGAGAACCTATGATAACCCAAAAAAGTCAGACAGAGTGACTTTTTCCATTGGGGTCCTTTTACCTTATTATTATAATATAAAGGTTATAATATCTTATTATTATTCTATAATGAAGATAACATCTTATTATCATACTAAAAAGACTATCTACTACACGAGGGTCATTAAGACTATCTACAATATGAGGGTCATTACTAGGAATAAGGTAAAATTACACGTGTTAGCTAAAAAATAAAAAATCATTCCCCTCCTTTTCTGTAGCTACATTTATCAGACACCTTTGGCACTCTTCTTGAACTGGTTCATGTTATGACTGGCTTTGACATGTGTGGACAGTCTGTTCCATTCCTTTATTGCTCTACAATAAGAGGTGTTTGAAGCCTGGCCATTGACTGTGGGTACTACAAAGTTGTGCTCTCTTCCCCTAGTACTATGATTCCTTTGGTTCCCAACCTTGACAAAATTGGCAGCAAGATATTCTGGACACTGTTTGTGAGCAATTTTATAAACATGATTTAGCTTCAGTTGTTTTACTCTGTCTTCAACATTCAACATATCCAACTGCTGTAATTCATTCTGGCCTACATGCTCTCTTGGACCCAGGTCCAGGATGAATCTTACTATTTTGTTCTGGGTGATTTGCAGTCTATCTTTCAGTTTTTTTTTTGTCAAGGCAGAGTACCATGAAGAGCAAGTGTAATCCATATGACATTGTATAAGGGCTAGACATAGGGTCCTGCAAGCCTCATTAGGTAGACACTGTGCTTGTCTATAGAGGAACTTCAGTCTGGCATTCGCTTTCTTTACTACACTGTTTCCTATCAATTCTCCTGACATGCATGGGTCAAAAGGGATTCCCAGATATTTTACTGAGGAAACTGAAGTGATGGACTCCTCATTACACTGGACATTAAAATTATTTACCCTTCTCAGTTTATGTTTCGTGCCAAAGAGAATGGCTTCAGTTTTCCTGAGGTGTAATGATAGTTTGTTGTCTACTAACCATTTGCTGCAGGACTCCAGTTCCAATGTTAATACATTAGCTATATCTTGTGGGTCTTTACCTGACACTAACAGAGCACTGTCATCTGCATACGTAGAAGTTTGCACTTGACACTGATAGGCATGTCGTTAACATAGCATAGGAATAATAAGGGACCCAGAATACAGCGAAACCTCTACTTGTGAGCGCATCCATGTGCTAGTTTTTCCAAATACGAGCAGTCGATGGGTCAGTTTTTTGCTTCCATATGTGAGCAAAATTTCCATAAGAGAGCAGACCTCAAGGCAGGTGCCTTGACGCTGGTGAGGGACTCTTGCTCTTGATCTAGGGAATTGTAATCTCATTTGTTTGTTGGACTATCTTATTGAAACTTGGGCAATATATGATGGAAAGATGCTTCTTAACGTAATAATAATAATAATAATAATCATATGTATAATAATAATAGTATAATAATATAACACAATAAAATAATAAGAATATAATACGTATAATAATAGTGCATATATAATAATAATGTACTTCATAATAATAATAGACGACTTCAAAAGGCCGTCACTAGATGGCAGCATTTACCACAACAAAAAGGGAGCGGTTGTGGCCACCTCCACCTGTTACATAATGACATATTTTATGCATTCTGGAGTATATATCAGGTTTTTATGTTATTTATATTGTTTATTATTTCATATTAGATGAACTGTGAAAGATAAATAAGCCATAGAGTTGATAGCGAAATATTCAAGGAGTATATTGTCCTGTCTCCAAACAAACTCTTGTCGGCGCCGCCGCTGCCACATATATAATCACATATTCTATTTATTTAGAGTATATATCAGGTTTCTGTGTTATTTATATTGTTTGTTATGCCATGTTAGATGAACTGTGATAGATAAATAAGCTGTAGAGTTGATATTAGCAAAATTATTGTAGTACAGAATTCCACTGGAATGGATTAATTGCATTTCAGTTAATTTAAATGAGGAAAATTGACTCTGCAAACGAGCAAATCCAGTTATGAGCAAGGTCATGGAACGGATTAAACTCGCAAGTAGAGGTTCCACTGTAGTACCTTGGGGAACTCCACATGCTGTTGGCAGGGGTTCTGATTCTGTTTTGTTGATTTTGACAATTTGTCTCCTGTTGCTAAGGTAGGACTTCAACCAGTCAACAGAACCTATACCGATAGCTTGAAGTTTCTTACATAAAATATTGTGGTTGACAGTATCGAAGGCCTTTTGCAGGTCTAAGGTTACCATACCTATGAGGTTCCCCATTAGCATTTCATTTCTCAAGTAATCCATCAGATTCATTAAGGAGGTGTCGGTTGAGTAAGATCTTCTAAAGCCTGATTGAGAGCTATGGAGAATGTTGTTGTCATTATGGTACTTAACTACTTGACAGTACACTGCCCTCTCTAGAATTTTGGATATTATACTGAGTATACCAACAGGCCTATAGTAGTTGCTTACATCAGACCTACTATTTTTCTTGAAGATAGGAGTAATTCTGGTCTCTTTGAACCCCTCCGGTACAGTATTAGTGGTGATGGACAAATTTATTATGTGAGCAACACGGATTGACAGTTCAGAAGTATCCAGGCCAGTGCTCTTAGTTGGGTTTAACCTGCTTAGTTCTTTTTGAATAAAGTCAAGAGATACACTTACTAGTTGACAACCCTCAAGATCATTGTGAACAAATATTGGTGTGAGAAGTACACTAAACCTAAATAAAATTTTCTCATTTAGATTTTTAATGGCACACATTCCATACAAGTACCTTGTCAAGTTTTAATTTATATTGTGGTGAGGGAAGTTGGAGCACAGTTTATTTCTGCTTTTCAAAGGCTAGCGCAATCAATTCAGCTTTGATTGCATTCCTACACTATACTATCCCACCTCTACAGTGTTTATAAAGGTGAAAATGACACTAATATTGCAATTAATCTGTCCTCCTTTTTTTATTTTTTCTACATGAAAAGTGAAATACGTACGTATTTATAAATTTTCAACCTTGATGCTGATAAAGAGCTCTTGATGCAAGGTATTGGAATTACTCTTCTTCACATCTAATTGCTTTCCATTCTCCAGGAGCTGTATGACCCCTATGGGTTTAGTGCTTCCCCATTACTACCAGTATAATACTAATATAACCTTTCAGTATAAGTGAATTTGTCTCCTATGTGACTTATCAATGAAGAAGAGGGCAAGTGTGTGCAATAATGTGTTGTATTTAAGCTTTACATAAGCTACCAAATTCCTTAACCATATGTTGCACATGTTGAATAACATGTATATACAGTGGACCCCCAGTTAACAATATTTTTTCATTCCAGAAGTATGTTCAGGTGCCAGTACTGACCGAATTTGTTCCCATAAGGAATATTGTGAAGTAGATTAGTCCATTTCACACCCCCAAACATACACGTACAAACGCACTTACATAAATACACTTACATAATTGGTCGCATTGGGAGGTGATCGTTAAGCGGGGGTCCACTGTATACTGTAATTCAAAAATAACCAAGCAAAGCTTAAGTGCAATACAGTACTGTATTGTATTACAAAATATTTTCTTACCAAATTGGTTTTCTGTATATAATTAATAAAGTTTTATTTACTTTTTTCTATATTTTCACCAGGCCTGAAAATTTTTTGTGTACTGTGCTGTAGTGATTTTTTTAATAACCTATTACATTAAATTCAGGAAGTGGTATTGGTACTGTAGAAATTAGTGGTTAGTTGCTGTATCTGGAGTTTACCTGGAGAGAGTTCCGGGGGTCAACGCCCCCGCGGCCTGGTCTGTGACCAGGCCTCCTGGTGGATCAGAGCCTGATCAACCAGGCTGTTACTGCTCCAGTTATATATTTTACTAGTGCATAACTAGCCACATGGAGATGGAAATTTCTAGCTCAAGATCTTTTGCACTTTCCGTGCATCATCAGGAGCAATGCAGTGTTGCAAGGCTAGCAACAGATAGTAGGAGAAAAAATTTCTGAGGCCGTTACACTGATGATGCATGGAGAGTGCAAAACATCTTGAGCTAGAGCTTTCCATCCTCACATGGCTTGTTCTGCATTGTTAGGATCGCCTGTTTGCGATTGTTTTGCACATTTTATTAATATATTATGAAAATTTAATTTCTTTGATATTCAGGAGTTTGAGTGAAGAAGGTGTTGAGAGCATTTTAGAGGGCAACAATCTTGACCTTCAACAAGCATCTATAGAAATACTCAATGTAAGTATCACTGGTAGTGCTGCAGTGTTACGTACTTGCGTACAAACTATCTTGATTATGAATGCAGATGTTTGAAGGTCACAATAGACTTATTGCAACTTGGTCTACTTAAGATATGCTTGTAACTGACCTAACAAAAACCGGTCTTTGAAAGCTAATACTATTGAAATACTATATGCAATTAATAGTCTAAAATGTGTGGTTAAATACACTTTTGTATATACAACTTTTTGATAGATAGTAATTAGGTACAAAATGCTTAGAGACACAAAAACAAATGAAAATTCACTTCATATTTTTTTGAAACCAGGTATGAGATTAAACATTTAAGCAGTAATTGTACAAAAAAAGGCACAATCATATTGATATTTCAACATTAATTGTGAACTTTTAAACTCTTGTTACAGTATCAGGAACCTCTTAGTGAAAATATTCTGGAGCAAAACTTGTGAGCTGTGTTATTTTATTCAAGGGGAAGCACTAAATCCATAGTGATCATATAACACACAGGGAATTTGAGATGCTCAGTTTTGATCCAAGGAAGGGGAGGATAATTCCAGTTCCTAGGATCAGGAGCCCCTCACCAGTATCAAGGAGCCTTTCTTGAGGGGCTAACTTGTGAAAGAATGCCATTTTTTAATTATAAATGTACTAATCACTTCCATTCATTTCTTGAATGACATCTTTGCTTAAAAATTTACACACACCTTGCAATCACACTAAAAAAAAAATTATCCCATGATCCAGTGTCATCACACATACATATTTAACTATTTGCTATTCTCTGGTTTTTCTTGTTAAGATCCTTTACCTCACACAGAGTGACTTGAAGGACGTAGGTGCTCCCTGCCTCCCAGAAGATGTGTTGAAGGGTAAGAAGAATTCGGTGAGTACATCAGTTTTGTAAGCATGGATTGATTCTAACAATATTACCTTAGCAAAATTTTCCCTAACTGTGTTGGTTAGAGCAAATTTTTGTTTTTCTTATGTATCCAAAAATTTTCACTAGACCAAAAAAAAATTTGGGGCCAAAATTAGCATATGGTCAGTATACATGTCCAAATTTATCTAAAAAAAAGTTCAATGAATTAAATCTGGTGAAAATGAAAGAGCAAGAATGAGTCATCATTTGTGAAAAGAAAAGGTATATAAAATTTTAGTATGAGATTTGTGTGATTTACTATGAGAGTGGGATATGAGAGATGAGTAATAGTCATAGATTATATACTCGTGTATAAGAAGAGTGTTAAGGAGAGAAAAATTCTGGATGGTGCTAAGTCACTGCATAAGACATTTCTAGGCCAATTTTGTTACACTTGAATGTGAAGTGAGAGATTCTGTTGTAAAAGGTATAGATGGAAATTTTTGTGTGGCTAGTAAATGCCAGCAGAAGACCCTCATATCATGCTTAGACAGTTGTTTGTAATATGTAAGAGATAATTCAGGAAAAATAAGATAAATAGATATGCAAAGAATGAAATGTGAAACAGGAGTAGTCTATTAGATTATCTATGGATTGTATAATGAATTACAGTTTTAATGTGATTTTAAACGATTGACTGTGTTGTTGTTGGCAACTCTTCCATGTATGGCCAGTGGAGAAGCTAAGGAGTTTACTTTTTTCCATGGAATGTTATTTTTATTGGCTCTGTTTTCACTGCAAGAACAGTTGGTCTGCTAAATTGTCTTATCTCTACAGTGTCTGTTCAGAGACACCTCTTTTCTTAATTCTTGATTATTCTGTGTCCTTTCTTCATACATATAGCTATAGCGTATGCTTGCTGAAGCAGCTTTCTCCCCTCAGTCCTTCTATATACGTATTTTTGTTTCACATTACATGCTGGTAGTGCTTGTCTCATTTGTTTTTTATTATTATATTGGTTTGCATGCTTTATTATATTCGTATAGCTGTACTATATACATGTACTTCATTTGATAATGCTTGCATTATTTATTTGAGAGTTACAGGACTTTATAAACATTTTCATGAATATTTAATGAGTATATATACCAACACTTATTTTTTTCTTTTGCATTCTTAATATTTATGCAATTTTGAAACTGTTTGCACATTTCTACAGCTGCCTGGTCCTATGATACTACAAGTGGTTAAAATGCGCAATGTTTCTGCCCCAAAAGCCTTTGAAGACTCGGGCGCAGCTCCTAGAATGTTGCGTGTGTCGCTCACAGATGGCTCTAATTCTATACAGGCTCTTGAGATTCAGACTATCAAACCACTGAGGTGAGGCCTGTGGTAAAGACAATTTGATCAAGTTTTAAGTGACAGCAAATGGATGACCGTATGATCAGTTAATTATATTAGCTTTAGTTTAAAAAATTTTGCAGTGTTTTATTCCTATTAATATTTATACCAGATGTGTATGTTATTGTACTATATGAGATGTTGTTTTTAATGTTTATACGTAATGTGTCTCTTCCAGCATGAAGACTGCACCAGGTACTAAGGTTCGGCTTACAGGCAAACCCCTTGTTTGTGGTGGGTTTGTGTTACTGTCCCCAAACAACATAACTGTGATTGGTGGCATTGTTCAGGAATTATATGACAAGTGGAAGCTCTCAGCAGTACGTTGTGGTGTTTGTTTACTTTGTTCACTTAACTGAATGGTAGATGGAGGATAAATTGAAAAAGTGAAACAGTAAGGCGATTTTTTTTTGCAGTATGTTTGTGGGTGGGAAGATGGATGAATGGTGAAATGGTGACATAAAGAGATTGGTAAGGGAGAGAAAGTTAGCATGTGAAAAGTTTTTACAACATTACATGATAAATGGACAGCAGAGTATGTGGAGAGAATATGAGAGGAAAATTGAGTGGTGTGGTAGTGTAAAAGGAGAGCCAGTTAAAAAATCGGGTGAGTTGTCAGATTTTGCTAAGAATAAGAAACAGTTTTGGAGAGAGGTTAATAAATTAAGAAAGCCTAGAAAGTAAATGATCTTGGCAGTTGAAACAAAAGAGGAGAAATGTTAGATGGGGAGGGAAATGTACTGTAAAAATGGAGAGAATATTTTGTGGGGTTGTTAATTTTTTTTTTTTTAACAAGTCAGCGTCTCCCACTGAGGCAGGGTGACCCAAAAAGAAAGAAAATCTCCAAAAAGAAGATACTTTCATCATTCAACACTTTCACCTCACTCATACATAATCAAGGTCTTTGCAGAGGCACTCAGATACGACAGTTTAGAAGTCCCTCCAAACTGTCAATATCCCAAACCCCTCCATTAAAGTGCAGTCATTGTACTTCCCATTTCCAGGACTCAAGTCTGGCTAACCAGTTTCCCTAAATCCCTTCACTAAATATTACCCTGCTCACACTCCAACAGCTCGTCAGGTCCGAAAAACCATCCGTCTCCATTCACTCCTATCTAACACGCTCACACACGCTTGCTGGAAGTCCAAGCCCCTGCCCACAAAACCTCCTTTAACCCCCCCTCCAACCTTTTCAAGGACGACCACTACCCCTCCTTCCTTCCTCTACAGATTTATATGCTCTTCCAAGCCATTCTACTTTGATCTATTCTCTCTAAATGACCAAACCACCTCAATAACCACTCTTCAGCCCTCTGACTAATACATTTAGTAACTCCACACCACCTCCTAATTTCCACACCAAATTCTCTGCATAATATTTACACCACACATTGCCCTTAGACATGACATCTCCACTGCCTCCAGCGCCTCCTTGCTGCAGCATTTACAACCCAAGCTTCACACCCATATAAGAGTGTTGGTACCACTATACTTTCATACATTCCCTTTTTTGCCTCCATAGTAACGTTTTTTGTCTCCACAGATACCTCAACGCACCACTCGCCTTTTTTCCTTCATCAGTTGTAAGGTTAATCTCATCCTTCATAAACCCATCCGCTAACAAGTCACCTCTCAAATATCTGAAAACATTCACTTCTTCCATTCTCCCTCTCTCCAATGTGATATCCAGTTTTTCTCTATCTAAATTATTTGATACCCTCATCACCTTACTTTTGTCTATGTTCACTTTCAACTTTCTACCTTTACATGCCGTCCCAAACTCGTCCACTAACCTTTGCAACTTTTCTTTAGAATCTCCCATAAGCACAGTATCATCAGTAAAAAGTAACTGTGTCAACTCCCATTTTGTACTTGATTCCTCATAATTCAATCCCACTCCTCTCCCCAACACCTTAGCATTTACTTCTTTTACAACCCCATCTATAAATATATTAAACAACCATGGTGACATTTACATAATCCCTGTATAAGACATACTTTTCCTAGGTAGTAATCTCTCTCTCTCCTAACCATACCCTAACATGAGCTCATATCCTATAAAAACTCTTTTACAGCATTTAGTATAAACTTTACTACCTATTCAATACATTTCTGAACCATCTGTCAATATTTGTCCACTATCCACACTAGCATATGCACTTTCCTATATCCATACATGCAATGAAAAACTTCCCTACTTTATCTAAATACTGTTCACATATATGCTTCAATGTTCTAACATTCACTACCCACCTAAAGCATCCTTGATCATCTGCAATTCTACTGTCTGTCTTACCTCTATTTCTTTCATTAATAACCCTACTGTACATGTTTACATGTATACAACAGTAATCTTTTTTTTTTTTTTAACAAACCAGACATTATCCCACCAAGGCAGGGTGGCCCAAAAAAAGAAAAACAAAAGTTTCTCTTTTTTAATTTAGTAATTTATTCAGTGAGAAGGGTTACTAGACCCTTGTTCCTAACAATTTTTTGTGCCTCTTACAGCTACACGACATGGCTTACGGTTGAAAGAATTATGTTCCACTTCCCATGGTGATAAGAGGAAATAAACAAGAACATAGAAAGAAAATAGAAGAAAAACCAAGAGGAGAGTGTGGTATATGTAAGACTTGTACATGTATGTGTAGTGTTGACATAAGTGTAAGTAGAAGTAGCAAGAAATACCTGGAAATTTGCAGTTTATGAGACAATAAATGGAATCCACATCTACTATCATGTACATTACCAAAAAAAAACCCATAATTTACATGGCTTCGTTTTTCCACTCGCTTGGCAGGACGGTAGTACCCCCTGGGCAGCTGATGTTTTACCAACTATACATACAACTCACTGGTAAATCTTATTATTTCTTTCTACAAACCGGCAGTATCCCACGATGGCTGGGTGGCCCAAAAGGAATAACGAAGTTTTCCTTGTAAATTTAGTTAATATTTATAGGAGAAGGGGTTACTAGCCCTTGATCCGGCATTTTAGTCGCCTTTATGTCACGCATGACTTACGGTGGAAGAATTCTGTCCAACCTTTTTTTTTCCCCCTTGGAGATAAGAGAAAATAAACAATGAAACAAGGACTTAGAATGAAAATAGAGAAACCCAGAGGGGTGTGTATATATACACGTGTACATGTATGTGTAGGTGTGACATAAGTTGTAAGTGACAGTAGCAGATGTACCTGAAATTCTTGCACGTTTATGAGACAAAAAAGGACCCAGCCAATTCCTACTATCTTGTTAAACATTACAGCTTTTCGTTTTACACTCATTGGCGGGACCAGTAGTTATCTCCCTGGGCAGCTGCTGTTTACCAACCTACTACCTACAACTCAGTAAACTTATAACTACTATAATTTTTACATCTCTCTTTGTACCCCTTCCCTTTTTATAAAGGAAACTATACAGGAACTCTACATCATCGATAGGTACATTCCCCTCTTTCATACATTTATTAAAAAAAATACAAACAATCTACACAATATCACACTGCTTTTAATTTATGTCATGATCCCGGTCAGTTCAAGCATGCCATTTATTCCCTTTCATTCTACATAATGCCTCATGCACCTCCTCCACACTCACATCCTGCTCTTCTTCACTCCTAAAAGATGTTATGCCTCCCTGACCACTGCCTCCCTTTCCTCATTGACATTTAAAAATTCCTCAAAATATTCCCACCATCTACCCAATACCTCCAGCTCCCCATCTAACTCCCCTACTCTGCTTTTAACTGACAAATGCAATTGTTCCTAAGGCTTTCTTAACTTGTTTATGTCTCTCCAAAATTTTTTCTTATTTTCAGGATTGTTAAATGTCTATTATGAAATGGAAGAGCCAGTATGATGCATTGAAAAGGGAGGAATAATATCTCATAAGAGTAAGAGCCAGAGGTGAATGTGGAGAAAGTGCGTGTGATCCAAAAGCAGGTGGGGATACAGTTTTATAGTGGTCGGTGCTTTGTTGTTATAGAATGAAAGAAGGAAGGTACTTAAGGATGGGCAGTGAGGCTTGCATAGTTCTGTTTATAAAGGTGAAAAAGAAGAGTGTACAGGAATTATAGGGAACTGGCTGTTGAAAATACTGGGTGAAGTGCATGGTAGAATTAATTTTGATCTTAAGACATGTTATTAATTAAAAAAGTACTGTACATTACAGTAGGGCCTCAAGTTACAGTGTTCCGTACCTATAATATTGGCACAAGGAACCAATTAATTAAATACAAACTCTAATCTGCATTTACAATCATTGCTAATAAACAAATTAGTATAAATAAAAGATTTTAATTTCTTTAAACAAATGAATTCATATTTTGTTTTGTTAATTTTTTGCAAATATAAAGTACTCAGATTTGTTTGGTAAGAGATTGGTCAAGCACTATAGATTTAATAGCTACAATTTTCATAAGTCTGATTTATACAGTAGACCACCACTGTCATGACTCCACTGTCTATGCCTCACACCCTGTTATGGATCCAACCTGTCATGGCTCCACCTGTCACGGCTCCACCTGTCACAGCTCCACCTGTCACGGCTCCACCTGTCACAGCTCCACCTGTCACGGCTCCACCTGTCATGGCTCCTCATGTCACGGCCCTCCAACGTGTCCAGCTCCAACCTCTCCACAGCTCCACCTGTCATGATCAACTGTAACAGCTCCACCTGTCACGACTCACCTGTCACGGGCTCCACTCTTGTCATGCTTCACCTGTCGTGCCTCCACTTCATTTCTCCTTGTTCATGATTCATTGTATATATTTCCACCTTTTGCCCCAAAAGTTAACCACCTGTTTGCAGTGACTGCTTTATTTTCTTTCTATAATTTACAGTTTGATAGTTTGCACCGATTCTGTTAATGAAACAAGAAAACTGCCCATTCAAATATTACAAGTGCTTTGAGTTTAGGTTTAAATTCACCATATAAAGCATTTGATGTTAAAAATTTTTGCCTCGCCTCACGATAAAAAAACTTGACCTTTAGTGATTTTGTCTGGGACGCGTCCCACGTGTGCCTCAGCGCCAGTGTTTACAAGCCAGTCAGTGCGGTCGACATCTACGCATACCCATTTGGTACATTTCAACATTATCCCAGTGTTTTTAGTTGCTTGTTAACTATCAAAATAAGTCACCAAGGGACTACAAGAAAGCTTCTAGTTGCATCCCCTGTGGTAAAAACGGGTGAGAATTAGTAGGAATTGAAATAAGAGATTATAGGAAATGTGTGCAAAGTGGGTTGAACTGCAAACCTTTATGGATGAAAATCACCCTGACACAGGCTACTGCAAGCCGTTGGTGGGGGGGGGGGGC